TAGGAATTTGACAATTAAATTAGTTTAATTTCACAATAGTCCCTGTGGATCGATACCTGGACTTGCTATTATTCTGATTGAATTTGGTATAGTTTAGTATTTAATTTTGGTGTGTTCAACGACCCATCAGTATGATATAGTGTGTACATAAAAAAATACTAGCTAAAATACAAAAACAACTATTTTGCTATAATTTAACTTAAAATTTATTGAGGTTGATGTGGATGCTCTTAGTGCCCATCATGTCTCATTCTGTATGTGATAATTTAGGGCTTTGGTTAAGAGAAAAAAGCCCAAGACCTCCGAACCCGTGTAACAAGCTCAACTTGACCATTCTATAAGCCTATGGCCTATTTTGGCAAGTAGTTAAAATATTTTAAAGGAAAATTTGGTCAAAATCTCTCATAATAAAATTTTAATGTACAAGTACAAAAAGTTTTTCTTCAAAATTAATTCAATGAGCGTCCCCTAAGGAAGCTCAAACTTTGTTTTCGGAAAGGCATACTATTACCAAACTATTCTTAGTTACTAATTTAATATATTAAACTTTAAAATGATATAACTTTTAATTTAGATGTCAAATTTTAATAAAATTAGTTTTTTTTTAAATCTTCTTATGAAAAATCTATTAAATAAGATCCATGTTAATTATAAAAAATTTTATAAAAGAAAAATTAAAAATGTCAAAATTGATGTAAACAGTAAAATTTTACTGTCAATCAATTAGGAAACATATCTTTACCATGAGTTCATAAACAAGTATACTTTTTAACTTTTTATGAAAAGATGTGCAAAAAAATAAAGAAATGATATGATCAAAAAAAGATAAAAAATATATTTATATAGTACATTCCAAACAAAACTAATCAAACAAAATCAATCATATTTTTTGTCACAACTATTTATTTAATTAAAAAAAATCATTTTAAACATAGTAACTTTTATAACTTTTATTGCATTATAAAAAGCTGAAAATGTACTATTCATAGCACCCAAAACAATTATTGAGGTTGAAATTGTAGTAACGAGACATGTGCCTTACTTAATGATGATGATATGCAACCAAGTTATGCAACGTGAAAGAGCCAATGTTCCGAAAGAATCAAGATATAGGTTTCGTTTGAGACGTGGGTTAATTTTTTATTTTTTTATTATTTTAATTTTGAGATTAAAAAGTTTTATTTGGATTAGGCTTTTTAACTTTTGTAAAAGAAAAAATGAAAAGATTATAATTTAAATGTTAAATTTTGTTTTATTGGATTAAAAATTTTATTTTATTTTTTTGTGATTAAAATAATTAAAAAATTAAAAAACTTGACATGCTAAACAAAGACGAGAATAGAAAAGTTGTCTGGACTGGATCAAAGTGCTTGAAGGTTGTGAATGTTCTACTACCAAGTTATGCAACCATGATGATGGTTGTAAACGATAGGAACAAAGATGGAAAGACAACACATATAATGAAAAGGGTAAATAGGTCACAAAAATAAAAGTATAGTGTTATTATGTCCACTCAACCGGTGTTCAACAAAATAAAATAAGGGTAAATTACTTTGCATCTTTTATATGTGATATTTTTTCACTTTAGTCTTTCAATTTTTTTTTTTTTTACTTTGACCTTTTATGTTTCAAGTTTTTTTCACTTTACTCCTAAACCTAATTTCTATTAAAAATGAGACAGAAAATGACACATTCACAATTACGTGGCATACAAATATTTTATTTTATATGACCCACACATTTGACATAAATTTAAATTTCAATATAATAATATACTTCTATGTTATGTGATAGTTATTGTAGTATTTTTTGTCTTACTTTAAACAAAAATTAACTTTAGAAGTACATTAAAAAAAATTAAAACGTGAAAGGTGAAAGTGAAAAAAAAATTTTATAAAGGCTAAAGTGAAAAAATAATCAAATATAAAAAAGATAAAAGTGTAATATAATGAATAAGATTGTGGGCAACCCACAATAAGTAGAGCCCAACTTTTAAAGTCTAAAAACATGCAATCTAAGCCCAAATTCTCAATTTTTTTAAACAATAATGTTTGATAGCTCAAATTTTCATAACTTGAATGGTTCGAATGCCTTAAAATGATATCATTTGGGGAGTAAAACGATGTCATTTTGATACATTCGAGTCATTCAAGTCACACAAATTCGAGCTATTAAGTGATGTTTTGGAAAGTTGGTAAAAAACTGATTTTTTTGACAAAAAATTGGGTTGTTTTGGATAAAAAAAATTGATTTTTTGGGCTAAAAAAAGTTAAAAAGCCAAAAAAATGACTTTTTTAGTATGTTTCCAAAACACCCCTAAGTATTTTCTTTTAGTTAAACACACCAACTTTTCTTTTTAAATAATATTTTTCTTGGATAGTAGAAGTTTTCAAACTAAGAAAACCATAACCTAAAAATAAAATCAAATAAAATTAGGCAAATGGTCTTAGAGCCCAAAGCTGAAAATACATGAGAATACCAAAAATATAAAATAAAAAATGAACAAAAACTAATGATACTGTAAACAAAAGAAGGTTAAAAAATAGCTTAATGGTCTCAAAGACCAACTTTATCTGATCTTAGACGGCAATGTTAAGACATATCTTGCTCTGCAAACTTGATTCGTTGATTGGTTAAAACTTGAAATAGATTCAACTTATTTTGTGTAAACATATTTTTATGAATAAAATATTTTAGATTCTAGATTGTTGACTAAACAAAATCAATTTATGGGCTAATAAATACCTAATTAATTTTAGAATTTGTCATCATGCAATAATTTGGTTTTTTTTTTTAAGGAAAATGACTCGTAGCTCGAATTCGGTGGCCCGAATTCGGCTCGAAACCCAAAACGACGTCGTTTTGGGTTTCGAATTTTTTTTTCCAACCTTTTCTTTCTCTTCCTTTTCTTTCTTTCTTTTCTTCTTCTTCTTCGTTGAACACAGGAGAAGAGCAGAGGAAGAAGAGAGGAGAAGAGAAAGAGGATGAGAAAGAGAGAGAAAGAGAGAAGAGAAGAGGAGATCGTCACAGCACCACCGCCGTCGCCTCCGGCCCCGCCTCCGCCTCCTCCTCCCGTTGTGATTATGCCCCCTCCAGTCCTCCTCCTTCCTCCTCCTCCTCCTTCCTCCTTCTCTTCTTCTTCTCCGAATTTGAGCCTCCAAATTCGAGCTATCTATCGGAACCGTTTTTTTAAAAAGTTTCTGACAACGTTGCACTGATTCAGAAATATATTACAAAAAATTTACTAAAAAACAACAATCAGTGTGTTTGGTTTGAGTTTTCTCAATTAGGTTTTTTGAAAACTGAGGGTATGTTTGGTTTGGTTTTGGAAGAGTAGTTTTTAAAAAATGTTTTGGGGAGAGAGTTTAAAAGTTTTTTTGATTTGTTTGGTTGTGTATTTTGAATGTAGTTTTGGAGTTTAGGAGTTTAGAATGATTTGATATTTTGTTATAATTGAGTAGATGTGTGTGAGAGAAAAAGTTATTGAGAAGGAGAGAAGAGAGAGAAAAAGTGATTGATTGATAGGTAAGAGAGAGAAAGTGATGTTGAAAATTGTTTTGGAAAATTAACAAACCAAACAAATTTTTAAAATTTTTTTTCCCAAAATCACTCTAGAAATCCAAATCAAACATACCCTGAGTTTTTTTATTTTCGTATTTTTTTGCTTTTGGTGAATATTTTTAAAATTTTAAATATTTTTTTTTTACTTTTTTAGATACACCTTACTTAGATATATTTAAAAAGTAAAAAATTCGTGAAAAAATATTTTAAAAAATTAATAAATATATAAAAATACAAAAAATGTACTGAATTCTTATATTTTTTTTATATTTTTGATATTTAATGAATTTTTAAAAGATTTTTTTTTAACAATTTTTTGAATTTTTAGGTATAGTTATGTTAAGTGTGTCTAAAAAGTAAAAAAAATTACTTAAAATATTAACAGAGTGCAAGAATTAGCAGGCATACTCTACTGTTTAAGGAGAGTATATCGTGGATTCATCTATTAAACAAGTCAAACTAACTTGATTATTATTTCCAAGATATAAGTGTCTTACTCTCTGTCTCGGAAGATGATGTTCACTCTGTCTATTCACTCACATGATTTGAGCTACTGCATGCTGCATGACTCGATTTGCTTGGTTATGTTATGGCAATTGTTAAAATTGTGTGTTTCAATTTCTGTCTGTATGAAATTGAGTTTTACATTCTGCAGATTTATTATAAAAAATAATATAAAAATCAAAAAATTGTGTAACAAATAGATGAAAACGTACAAAGGGAAATTATCAACCACAGATCATTGAGGCATCCAAACATTGTACGATTCAAAGAGGTCTGTTCAATTTCTATCCCTGTGTATTATTTCTCTTTCTTTTAATATCCATTTTTTTCTCTCTTTGCCTCTCACTCTTTTTTAATATATGAGTAATGTTAGACATTCCAAATATTCTACTAAAAGTTTTATTAAATGTCTCACATGGGTGTAGGACCCACACAATGTGAGTCCCATGTGAGTCCCATACCCATGAGACATTTGATAAAATTTTTGTAGAATTTTTAGTACCTCTAATATTTTTGTTAATATATATCTTTAAAATGAGACTGAGGCTTAGTTCAATTAAGTGGCATGTAACCCCTACTCTAGGTCATATTAACACCTACCCATCTGGCTATTGTGATGGAGTAGAAAAATGATTCATACCTCTAAAAAATAAGTTCTAAAAAGAGCTCTAATTTGTCATTTTCTCCCTCTTTTTTTGTCTTCTATTATTTCCTCCCCGTACAGAGGCTTAGTTCAATTAAGTGGCATGTAACCCCTACTCTAGGTCATATTAACACCTACCCATCTGGCTATTGTGATGGAGTAGAAAAATGATTCATACCTCTAAAAAATAAGTTCTAAAAAGAGCTCTAATTTGTCATTTTCTCCCTCTTTTTTTGTCTTCTACTATACTGTTTTTTTTTTTTTAATTCATGACAACTCATTAGAGCTGTACGGCTGGTGCTCTAATTAGAGCTCTCCAGCAGCTCTGGTCATGAAATGGTATCTAAACAAGTTTCTCTTGTTGCTTCGATTTATCCCTTATCCTTGTACAGAATTAGTGGTTGAGTTTGATTCAATGTTCTATGTTCCTTTATGAAGCAAGTATGTCACCGTGACTTGAAATTGGAGAACACATTACTGGATGGAAGCCCAGCTCCTAGGCTGAAGATTTGTGATTTTGGGTATTCCAAGGTTGCTCTTATCTCTGAAATTGTTTCTGTGATTATGAATCTCTATCTAGTTTAAGACCAAACTTTATTAAGAATATTGCATGGACAGTTGTTTGATTGCTTGTGTGCATGAGTAGCCCATTGTAAAAAAAAAAGGGTCATTCCAGTATGGTAATCTTTGATAATCCATTGTTTCTTCATATGTTGGTGGTCATTCTTACAAGCATTTTGACTCTTGTTGTTCATCTCAGCATTCGGTGCTGCATTCACAACCAAAGTCAACTGTCGGAACCCCTGCATATATAGCCCCGGAAGTTTTACTAAAGAAAGAGTACGATGGCAAGGTAAATTTATATTGGTTTACTCTATTCGATTTAGCTATTAATTGGTTTTTGTGAACGGCCCTATTTGGTAGGGTTTATTTCCAGTTTATTTCAGCTTTTAGCTTAATTTAAGCTATTTTAATGTGTTTGGTTCAGCTTAACAATTGCCCTGTTTGGTAAAGCTGTAGGAAAGTGATTATAGCTTATAGTTTAACCGCTTATAGGTTATAACTGTGAACATAAGCTGATTTTTTACTTATAAATTAAGCTTTTCCTCCCCCACTCAAAGAATAAGTTGATTTTTGACTTACAAAAAGTTATAAACTGTATTGTTAAGTTGAACTAAACACATCAAAATAGCTTAAATTAAGCTAAAAGTTGAAATAAGCTGAAAATAAGTTCTACCAGACAGGGCCAATACAGCTTATAGTTTTTTGTAAGTCAAAAATCAACTTATTCTTTGAGTGGGGGAGGAGAAGCTTAATTTATAAATCAAAAATCAGCTTATGTTCACAGTTATAAGTTATAAGCTGTTAAACTATTAAGCTATAATCACTTTCCCACAGCTCTACCAAACGGAGCCAACTTTGTAAACTTGACATTTTTATGCGTAGCAAATTCTCATGAGCTTTCTTTGCAAATGTTTAAACCACACAATTGATTTGCCTAATTGTTTGATAGGACTTTAAACATGTTTATGAACCTGCATTCCGATTTTTCTAAACTTAAAGCTAAACTATATCAACACCACACAATTGATTTGCCTAATTGTTTGATAGGACTTTAAACCTGTTTATGAACCTGCATTCTGATTTTTCTAAACTTAAAACTAAACTATATCAACAACCATGTCCTATTAATGCTCAGCTTATAAACTGTTATGGTGGTATGGTAGCTCAAACAGTCTCATAATTGGCCACTATGCTAAAATCATGCCACAAAGTTGGCCTGGTTTGTTTTAACTGAACAGTAGTCCAAATGACTTGAGGAGGAAGATGATCACTGTGATTTTCTTGGTTTATGTATGAAGTTTTCCTTTACTATTGGGTCCAGTGGGTTAATTGAATTCTTACAATATGATTAAGAAAAATCTGTTTTATAGTCTGCTGACTGCAATATGGTGACTCTGCAAAAACTAGCATGAATATGAAGATTGATTCTTCAACATGGGATTGGAAATGTTCGTTGTGGATGATTATTTTTTGTCACTTTGGTCATCACTGTCTATCAACCCATCCATGGTGAAGAAGATTGTTTAGGTAGATCAAGTTGGGCATTGTCATCTCCTTAAACAATGATTTAACAACACGAGAAAGTTCACTGCATGGATGACTAGTTTAATGTATTATTTTCTCATGTCTTGTTTATCTTAATCCACATGGGTGGCACATGTCAGGCATATGGCTAATGTTTATCTTAATCCACTAACAAATGTTTGACATCGACATGTGTTGGACATGCTGTACCACTAATTGATTGGGCCTTTTCAATTTGGTATCAGAGCTTAGTTGAGCCTGTGATTGGTATGCCGTTTGTCCGGCTAGTGTATGTTGTGGTCCAAGAGGGTGTGTTGAAATGTGTCACACCATCGCCTGGAGTTGTCTCATCTGTATGTTCTAGTTATAAGGTTTCACCTCTCTCCTTAATACTTGGGTTTTAAGGAAAAGTGGGAGCTGGGCTTTTCAATTTGATATCAGAGTTTGGTTCAGCTTGTGATTTCCAGCACACACTTCTCCTTAAAACCCAGGTATTAAGGAGAGGGAAACTAGAGCTTTATAACTAGCACAAATAGGGCAACTCCAAGCAATGTGGAACACATTCTAACACACCCTCCTAGACCACAGCATACAATAGCCTGACAAACGGCACACCAATCACAGGCCCAACCAAGCTCTGATACCAAGTTAAAAGCCCCAACCCACACTTCTCCTTAAAACTCAGGTATTAAGGAAAGGAAAACTGTAGCTTTATAACCAGTACAAACGGGACAACTCTAGGCAATGTGAGATACATTCTAACACCACTTGTCAGACATACGTCTAATGTTCCTTTTTTAAAGTTTTGCTTGTTGGACCCTTACCAGACACTTAGTTGAAACAAGTCTTCAACGCAAAAAAAAAAAATTGTCGTATCTTCAGCCAGAAGAACAATACCTGCTATTTTCATCAGTCAGCAATAAGATGTGATGAGAGGAAGAGAAATTTTTCTGTCCTCAAAGCTTCCTCCTGCTTCATCTATTGTATATTCTTTGATTCTCTTCCCTTACATTAGATGACCCTTTTTATATTAACCTGGCAGTTCTTCAGTCTCATCCTTCAAATATGGTTGATTTTCATAAGCCCAATTTGGTTTATGGGCTGTTTGTATATTTCCACATGATTAGCAGGCTCAAACATGAAACCTATCCGTCTTTATTTCTCTTGTGGCCAGATGTATTAAGGAAAAATGAAAAACAAAATAGAAGCATCACACACACACACAAAAATAAATAAAGAAAACATAAAACTCTTTAACTCATCTCAATTTGTTGATGGCACAGTAATGTATAATAAATTTAATTAAAAGTTGAATATAAATTTGTATGTAGTGTCCCCACCATGTTGTACCCTGCATTTATTTATGGTTTATTGTTTATATATTTTTAGTTCTTATATATTTTTATGCCATGTTGGTGTGTTTGTGTTGTATTCATATCCATGCTTCGAAGCCTAGGATGAACCATAAACTCATGTGTTGGGCTTGACTCTTGTTGTTCGTTTTGCTCAGTCTGACTTGATGGGTTTGTGTATTCAGAGTTTACCCAACCCATACACAATATGTGTGAGGTGGGGTTCCCAGTCAACACCAAAAAGAAAACAAGTTTAATGTATTTGTCTTGTTCATATTGCCTGGTTCATGACCAATAGTGGGTGAAGTATATGTATGTTATGACTTGTTAGTTTATGCATTGTGGATACTTAGGAAGATAAGTTTAATGATATTATTTATCCAAAAAAAAAAGAAAAAAAAAAGAAAGACAAGTTCAACAATATACGTCACTTGTACAGTGAGAGCAAGGAGAAAGGGAACACAGTAACTTTTGTTGATGGAAATTTTTTCCCGAACTTTCATTCTAAAGAAACATGTGTCTGGACTATAATTTATGTTAGTACTGTTACAGTGGTCAAACTGGGCGATGTACTTTGATAATACACTGATATGGAATCACCAAAGCAAGGAGATCCCTTTGCTCAGCTATATTCATATATTTAACCATAACAACAACTGTTTTACTGGTTTAATATGCAATTAAAATTATAGATAGCGGATGTGTGGTCTTGCGGTGTGTTAAAACCTATCACCTACTTCACCCACTTAAACCTACTCCACTAAACCTAACCCACTACACCACTACCACCTCCACTTCACCTACTCCTTACCTACTACACACTCACCCTCTTCTATATATAGGAATCATGAATCATTGTAATATATAACATAAATCAATCAATAATACATCAATTTTAACATGGTATCAGAGCTATAGGTTAAGCTCTTGGTGCTCTTCGCCTTCTGGCGGGCGGCAACTTTGCCTTAACCGCCCGCCAGACCTCAACCAATTGAAACGTCCAACACATACCTCTCTCTCACCACTATTGATAGATCTCATCTGAACCCTAGGGTTTCCTCCAGTTCTCTCTCACCTCCTCCGATTTATAGAGGACGATGAAGATTCAGTGCAACGTTTGTGAGGTTGCAGAAGCGAACGTTTTGTGTTGCGCAGATGAGGCGGCTCTGTGTTGGTCTTGCGATGAGAAGGTTCACGCTGCCAATAAGCTCGCTAGCAAGCACCAGAGCGTTTCTCTCTCTGCTTCTTCCTCTCCCATGCCCAAATGTGACATCTGTCAGGAGACAGTTGGCTATTTCTTTTGTCTCGAGGATAGAGCTTTACTGTGTCGGAAATGTGATGTTGCCATACACACAGCAAATACCTTTGTGTCTAGTCATCGGAGATTTCTACTTACAGGAGTGAAAGTAGGGCTTGAACCCACTGAACCTGGTGTGTCTGCTTCCTCAGGGACGGCACAATCTAGTGAGAAAATCTCAGAAACAGAATCTCGTTCTGTGCCTAGAAAGGGTACCCCAATGCTGTTGACTGGTCAGTATAACAAAGTATCACCTGTCTAAGTTGCTGGGGTTGGGGATTTTCAACCAAGTAAGTTGCCATTGGCTGGAGGATCCACAGCTGGAAGTATTCCACAGTGGCAGTTTGATGATTATCTTGGACTAGCTGACTTCAATCAGAACTATGGCCACCAATCTCTCTCTCTCTCATCTTTCCACTTTCAAACCCACAATCCTTTTTTTTTAATCAACCCACTCCCTCACTTTCTTTAAACCCCTCTTTCACTCACATGGGCTTGTCCATTCGAGTTTGCAAACCACACTTGTTTTATTCATATCGGGGATAAAAAAAAAAACACAAAAACAAAAACAAAACAAACAAAAACAACAAACCAAACCACACAAGATCACCATCACAACCACAACAGATTTGTTTTCTTTTCTGCAGACGGCCACCCACCGACCTACTCTGCCGCCGGTCTTTTCTTTTTGCCTCCGTCCTGGGCGGTCCTTGATGGTGCTGCCTCTGTGCTTCCTAATCCACCGAGCACATTCACTCTCCCCTGCTCCTCCACTGCAGCATATGGCGGACCTCCAAATCGGAACATCACGGTGGCCTTCCGTTTCAGCTCCTTATTGTCATCTCCTTAAACAATGATTTAACAACACGAGAAAGTTCACTGCATGGATGACTAGTTTAATGTATTATTTTCTCATGTCTTGTTTATCTTAATCCACATGGGTGGCACATGTCAGGCATATGGCTAATGTTTATCTTAATCCACTAACAAATGTTTGACATCGACATGTGTTGGACATGCGGTACCACTAATTGATTGGGCCTTTTCAATTTGGTATCAGAGCTTAGTTGAGCCTGTGATTGGTATGCCGTTTGTCCGGCTAGTGTATGTTGTGGTCCAAAAGGGTGTGTTGAAATGTGTCACACCGTCGCCTGGAGTTGTCCCATCTGTATGTACTAGTTATAAGGTTTCACCTCTCTCCTTAATACTTGGGTTTTAAGGAAAAGTGGGAGCTGGGCTTTTCAATTTGATATCAGAGTTTGGTTCAGCTTGTGATTTCCAGCACACACTTCTCGTTAAAACCCAGGTATTAAGGAGAGGGAAACTGTAGCTTTATAACCAGCACAAACGGGACAACTCTAGGCAATGTGAGATACATTCTAACACCACTTGTCAGACATAGGTCTAATGTTCCTTTTTTAAAGTTTTGCTTGTTGGACCCTTACCAGACGCTTAGTTGAAACAAGTCTTCAACGCAAAAAAAAAAAATTGTCGTATCTTCAGCCAGAAGAACAATACCTGCTATTTTCATCGGTCAGCGATAAGATGTGATGAGAGGAAGAGAAATTTTTCTGTCCTCACAGCTTCCTCCTGCTTCATCTATTGTATATTCTTTGATTCTCTTCCCTTATATTGGATGACCCCTTTTATATTAACATGGCAGTTTTTCAGTCTCATCCTTCAAATATGGTTGATTTTCATAAGCCCAATTTGGTTTATGGGCTGTTTGTATATTTCCACATGATTAGCAGGCTCAAACATCAAACCTATCCGTCTTTATTTCTCTTGTGGCCAGATGTACTAAGGAAAAATGAAAAACAAAATAGAAGCATCACACACACACACAAAAATAAATAAAGAAAACATAAAACTCTTTAACTCTTCTCAATTTGTTGATGGCACAGTAATGTATAATAAATTTAATTAAAAGTTGAATATAAATTTGTATGTAGTGTCCCCACCATGTTGTACCCTGCATTTATTTAAGGTTTATTGTTTATATATTTTTAGTTCTTATATATTTTTATGCCATGTTGGTGTGTTTGTGTTGTATTCATATCCATGCTTCGAAGCCTAGGATGAACCATAAACTCATGTGTTGGGCTTGACTCTTGTTGTTCGTTTTGCTCAGTCTGACTTGATGGGTTTGTGTATTCAGAGTTTACCCAACCCATACACAATATGTGTGAGGTGGGGTTCCCAGTCAACACCAAAAAGAAAACAAGTTTAATGTATTTGTCTTGTTCATATTGCCTGGTTCATGACCAATAGTGGGTGAAGTATATGTATGTTATGACTTGTTAGTTTATGCATTGTGGATACTTAGGAAGATAAGTTTAATGATATTATTTATCCAAAAAAAAAAGAAAAAAAAAAGAAAGACAAGTTCAACAATATACGTCACTTGTACAGTGAGAGCAAGGAGAAAGGGAACACAGTAACTTTTGTTGTGGAAATTTTTTCCCGAACTTCATTCTAAAGAAACATGCGTCCGGACTATAATTTATGTTAGTACTGTTACAGTGGTCAAACTGGGCGATGTACTTTGATAATACACTGATATGGAATCACCAAAGCAAGGAGATCCCTTTGCTCAGCTATATTCATATATTTAACCATAACAACAACTGTTTTACTGGTTTAATATGCAATTATAATTATAGATAGCGGATGTGTGGTCTTGCGGTGTAACCTTATACGTCATGCTGGTCGGTGCATACCCATTTGAGGATCCTGAGGAGCCTAAGAATTTTTGCAACACAATACAAGTAAAGTAATTCATCACACGCTATTGCTGTAGATATCACATCTCAATTGAATTACTGAACTCAATAGTTGTTTTTTTTTCATGCAGCGAATTTTGAAAGTTCAATACTCTATTCCAGACTATGTTCATATATCTCCAGAGTGCAGCCATCTGATCTCGAGGATTTTTGTAGCTGACCCTGCCAAGGTCAGTTGCAATTTGCTGGTAGCAAAGCCTTTTTTTTTAATTTTTTGTCTTGCTGTACTTTTTTAGGGTTCTCTTTTTGATAATGGAGTTTGTCATACATTTTTTCTTGTCCACAATTGTAGATGTTATTATTTTTGTTCTTTTTTATGAGAAACTCTATCTTGTACAAATAGTGCAATTGGTAACCTGAACCACATAGTCAGATCGCATGACATGTGTCAACTTGGACATTCATATTGACATATATCTGGGTCTTTGTATTGGTGAAAAAGGATTAATCAAAATAAAACCTCAACCGAAAAGGGATTAATCAGGAGAGTCCTGCCAATGGATTAACACAGTTGGCAATTGAACACCTCAAATACTGTCGAACTACTAAAAAGACATATAAAAGAGTACTTGCAAGAGAATACTGAAGAAGATTTTATTCAGGACTCAGGAAAACACTAACTTTGGAGAGAGATGGATGAACCTTTAGCCCCAAAACAGTTACTATAAAACCCTATTGCTCTCTCCCCTTCTCTAGATATAGATACACACACCTCATCTCCATTGTTCATCAATAATACATACTAGTCAACAAAGGATTTACTATTACTTTATCTTACAAGACTACCATACACAAGGACAACTACACTATTAAAATAGCTTTATAAGGACGAAGTGAACTATTCACAACTACTAAAATATGTTCTACATATCTATTTCCTCCCTCCACACTGCCTGGAAGCAACTCTAGACAAGTCAAGTCATTTGGTAATAGAGATCTCACTAAACGGTATCACTTGACGATACCACTTGAATGTAGCAACTCTAAGACCAAGGCGTTGACCTGGTGGATGAGGAGCTCCCTTACCAGTTGTGATGCTTGGCTTCCCCTTTCCTTTATTCTCATACAACCAATTGGGGGGGGGGGGGTTGTTGGGAAACAAACAAAACAAATAAAGAACATGGCAAATCTAACTGAGATAGAGTGAGGAGTCAAGTTGTTTCATTGTGTGAGAGAGAGAGAGTCTTGCAATAAAGTTTGCTTGCAACAATAATTGTGTGGCAAGCACAATAGGTGATAGTGGCAAATCTAACTGAGATAGAGTGAGGAGTCAAGTTGTTTCATTCTGTGAGAGAGAGAGTCTTGCAATAAAGTTTGCTTGCGACAATAATTGTGTGGCAAGCACAATAGGTGATAGTGGCATTGAGTTCAGAGGTTACTTTCCATGGATTATGGAAGAGTTGTGTGCAAGAAAATCCTATCTTTTTAAACTATTTGAAAGGCTGTTTTTAAATGGAGATGATAACTTGAAGTGCTGAATTTAATCATTTGCTTTTATTGGATTCAACAGAGGATATCCATGTCAGAAATCTGGAACGACAGGTGGTTTCTAAGGAACCTCCCAGCAGACCTTGTGGATGAAAAAACAATGAACAACCAGTTTGAAGAGCCCGATCAACCCATGCAGAGTATTGAGGAAATCATGCAGATAATTGCTGAGGCTACCGTACCTGCAGCTGGGACGCAGAGTCTCAACCAGTATCTAACTGGCAGCCTTAATATCGATGATGAGATGGATGATGACCTCGATAGTGATCTGGACATCGATAGCAGTGGAGAAATAGTCTATGCAATGTGATTGTAGCACAATCCCGCATCGGAGGATCAGATGATTTGGTCATTTCAAGGGGCAACCGTTACACTACGGCCTTTACACCCCGCAACCGCAATCGCGTCACCGCCACCGTTACGGCGACTGCAACCGCTTTTCAGAACCTTGACCATAACATGGTTATTCACCAATATGTTGTCCAATGCTTCTAATATTTGTATTATAACTTTGTCATCTTCATGACTCTCGTTTGGTTAGTTTGTTGGATTGCATTAGGGATGTTGTGACAAATTTGATTAGAAATTCCAATGGCAAAAGAAGGGGATTCGTTAGCTTGTTATTCAGTACGAACGAATGAAATGACAGAATCTACATAAATTATTCAACAAGTTTTGGGAGAAATTCCTGGAGGATCCCTAGAGATTCAAAAATCCAGCGCTTTATAAAGAATTCCATATGGAATGATTTTACAATCAGCCTGTTAGTATTGGTTGGCAAAGGACTTGATCATGTCAATAAAGTTCTTTAGATGCTCTTTTTTAAGGGTGAGTTCTATTTAAGAAACTTCTTGTTATTTGAGTATGTGATTAGATGTATTCGGCTCCATGTTGATTATGAATTTGCATCATTTACTTGCTCTAATTTGAGTTTGTGATCAAATGAATATGGCTCCATGATAAGTATGAATTTGCATCATTTAGTCTTTAAATACTTGGTCTAATTTCAGTATGTGATCAGATGAATATGGCTTCATGTGTAGTTCACATAATTTTGTATTAGAATTAATTGCCATGTCTATGGGGTCAAGTACGAAATTTGGTGGGTGTAACTTCGTGATTCAAGCCACCTGCTCCACGTCAAGAATGTATTCAAACACAAACTTATGGAAGTATGAGATCAATTGAATTATTGCGACTTTATTGAGGCTTGACCAAATGAATGATTGCGACTTTATAGAGGCTTGGCTAAATAAATTTCAAATCTCTTTCGATAAATAAAAAAATAAAGAACAAAAACACAACCAAACAAATTTCTTGAAGTATTTAAGAGTGGGACAAGACTCACAGTATCATAGAATCATACCATTTTCTCTAAAAGAGCTTACAACAAATCTCTATACCCAATTTTCTTTTGCTACAAGTTGCGACTCTCATGTCTATAATGTCTTTTTCTCAACGACCACAGCAAAATATAAGTTTCAAAACCACCCAAATGAATCACAGACAAAGCTAGCTGCAGCAAAACATCGAAGGATGGTGAAAATCGGACCTTGCATCTAATTAAGAATAAAGTGACATGTTTGAGCATTTGCGTTAGAGTCGACAAACCTGCCTTGGATAAGATTTAGTAGATGGCAGTAAAGAAAAAACACAAAAAACACAAAAAAAACAACAAAGTATTCTCAAATCTCGTGCATATTTCAACCATAAAATGCAGAAAAATCAGCACAACATATTTGGCCCATCACTAAAAGAACAACTAAAATTGAGAGCAAAACATTTTCCTCTGCTTCCAATATGCACATTCCAACAAAATAAATCTCTGAAGGCATTTCTCAGAAATTTTCAACCCTTGATTAATTGCACTACAACCACATTAGATAAGGTTGTACAAGTTGTCCCTATGTCGTCAAAAACAAGAACTCCTCATATGTTTCCCAGCATCTAAAGCACTAGATCATTTGGAATAAATACACGCACGCACGTGCACACACACACACACACACACACGCACACAAAAAAAAAAAAACCTCCTGTTTGGATGAACTGAAAATCAGAGGATTATGTTTTCTGACCACCTCCATCATAAACAGTTGAAACAAGTGTCACCTCGTATCATCTACAAAAACAGTTAAAAAATAAATATGATTGTATCAGATCATGTCAACAATGCCATGAGACTCTGCAAAGAGCTATAATTTGTTTACAGAAAAAGAAAAAGAAAAAAGAGTTAATTTCATTTATTTCTGCACTATCACCATTTTTTTCTATTTGATCCTTAAACTATAAATTTCATTTATTTAATTCCTAAAATTTCTAATTTCAGCTATATGATTCAATTGAAGGCCATAAATTTGATGGACAAAAGGTTCATTTCAAAATATGAACAACTTAAACCATAACATTCATTTTTTTTATTCCCTATATTGACATGAGGCGTGGAGAAGAATATGAACATTTGGTTGCAAGGTGTAAGTTCTCTAATATAATGTGAATAAGAAAATGTGTGTTTGGTTGTATGATTTAGGTTGTCCTAATTACAAAATTACATTTCTACCCATTAGGTTAGGTTTCCACCATTACTGATTTAGATGGACGGTCTCTAATAGGAATTTGGACCATATGAGCTAAAATAAAAAAATTGTAGGGACTAAATAAATGAAATTGATAATTTAGAGATGAAATTAAAAAAAATGATAACAGTTTAGGGGATCAAAAGTGAAATTAGCCCAGACAAAAATTATGCATACAAAATTGAAGGAACCAAAGAAGGAATGACTACATGTGATGGTGGTGATACATTCTACCATGAAAAAGTTCAAACAATTAAGCAAACAAATGATTACCTGTTCACCCCATAGAATTAGAGCTTATCATACTCGGGAAGACTCTGGTGGCAGTGGTTCCGATGCCTTTTGGGGCCTTCTATACCACAGAAATGCAAAATATAGAGTCCTTAATAATCCCCCATTTGCAAAGTGTGGAACAAAAATGCGCCCCCAGTAGGGGTAATATGGGGCCTGGCAATTTGAGTAATGTGAAGAAAATTGCAATAGCAATCAGATGCCAGGGAACTTCTGCATCCTGATAATACAACCAGAAAAGAAAATCATTGTGAAAAACACACATACTACATAAGAAAGTAACTAATAAAAATTGAAATCAAAATATTTTAGACCCTTGAATTGAAGAAAACCAATTTGCGAAGTGAGGCACTATTACAAGGCATCCCCACAAGCCGTGTTTTGGGTTGGGAGAGAGAGAGAGAGAGTACATGACACAGTCAAATACCAAAATCTTGTGAGAGAAAAAATGTTTCAATTCAAATGTCAGAAGCGCCTAATTTCTCCAAATTGAAATTGTGATATTTTCGATCTCTGAATTGAAGAAAACCAATTTGAGAAATGAGGCAACAATAACGCATCCCCACAAGGGTTGATACTGTGTTTTGGGTTGAGAGAGAGAGAGAGAAAGAGAGAGAGAGAGAGAGAGAGAAGGTGAGTACATGACAGAGTCAAATACCATCATATTGTGAGAGAAAAAAAGGCTTCAAGATTTTCCCACCGTAGGGCTATGGTTCAAATGTCAGGAGCACTAATTTCCCAAGCATAATTAAATGAAGCACCCCAAGCAGATACATAATGAGAGTTTTTTTTGTTATTTTTGATAATCCAGGATA